CTCCCAAGGTTAAATCGCTTTCACGAACGATTCACTACTTCAGTGGAATATATTTGTATAGTAAACTCGACTTGTTCTCGAAGCGAGAAGAAATAATATTTTGTAGAATTTTCCACAGTAAATGTCGCAAAGTTTGTACTGATTTTGATTGAAGTAGGCAGCTCAATACGAATTTTCATGGTACAAAGATATATTAGAGGAGTCATATTAAATTCTCGATGCCCCGAAGTGGTGGTGCTTGTCCTCAAGGAAGTGGCTTCTGCCGTGCGGCCTTGGTCGAGATTAACTGGAAAGTCCTCTCCTCTTTTAGCGAAGTTGTTTGTTACAAGCAAAGGAGGAGGCGGTGACGGTCTGTCGTCGGCGAACAAGGACAGCTCGCCGCCCAACCAGAGCTAGAGCCGAGTGTGCGGCGCGCAGCGTTACGTGCGCGCCTCAAAGATCCAATACTCCACCACAGATCGGGCCCTACATAGGCAATACTTAGCTGGGGTTACGGATCAAGTGTAATAAGGTACCACGGCCTCTCCATATAGCAAGTGAAGGAATAGTGTGGTTTTTAGTCTGTAAGATTATGACATTCCCTCTCGCCATACCGTAGTCGAGAGAAGTAATGTGATGTTGCCCTCCGCAAAAAACTCACGACATTCACGGAAATAAAATTCTAGAAAAGTTGTATCCAATCCGTTTTAAACCCAGGTGACTTAGTGAACCACATTCTAAATTTAAATAAAACTGCGAAGACTTTATTTCAACGACTATGAGACCTACCTACTAACAGAAAAAAAAACAATTTCCAACAATAAAATAAGAATACAATATCTTAGCGTTGTTTTTCAATTCGTTTCTGCTTTTCAATGAATGCACGTATTCTAATATTCTTTCCTGCTCACTGAACTGTTTCCCCTATAAGGATCGGACAAAAATACATTTTTATCTCCACTCCGGGTTAGCAATAAAGGAAGATTAATATTTCGTATTAAGAATACCCAGGATTCGTTATTTTGTTTGTGTTTTATGTTTTTAATATACGTAGGTTAAGGTACTGTGTTTTGGCTTTAGATTGTAATTGTTTAAGGTCAAGTATTTTCGTGTTTCTGTTGCTAATGTTTTCGTTGTTTATGTGAAAACTGTTCCACATGTTTTTCCCCTGCCTGTGAACAAACATTTTTACTTTTACGTGTATATAGTACTCATTGTTCAAAACAATAATAGCAATGATGACAACTAGTCGACTTCAAAATACCTTGCCATAAATTTTCTATGAGATTACTGAGATTACTAAGTTTCGACGTCATATTATATCATTTCTTGCGTCAAATGTAATAAAAAGTACATATACACAGGTATTTTATTTTGGCAAAAAATACTTAAACCAAGCCTAAAATTTATACAAGTAATGAGAGTATCATTATTATTTTTTATTTATTTTAAAACTTGATTTTTACATTTTTAAATATTTTTATAAAACAAAAAAAAAACACTTAAAAATATAAAAAGCAGTATCCCACCGGTTACGGGAGGGTTCCAAGCAACCGGTGGTCAGGGTTCCAGAGAAAGGAATCTCCGGACAATGCGCGCCGTGTCTAGAAGTACAGCTTTCTGGATCAGATTCTTGACCCAACCATCTAACGTAAGCCTGCTTAGGTGTTTATCAAGGCTTTTAGCCATGAGACCATTGGCAGACACGACTATCGGCACAATGATTGCTGAGTCTACATCCCACATGTCGACAATCTCATGAGCTAAATCAAGATATTTACTTGCTTTATCTTTTTCAGCTTTCACAAGATTCTCGTCATGTGGGATTGTTATATCAATTATCAAGAGTATCATTATTATTAAGACAAACAAAGTCTAAAATATATTTCTCTGTGAGAACAATTTTATTATTTTTGACCGAACAATGTACCTTATTATTGACTACTGACAGAAATTAGCCTCTCAATAAAGAGCAGTAAAGCGAATTCACTCTTATGAAGTTTCACAGTTTAATAACACAGCATTATCAACCAACAAAGACTAATCACAGTAAATGAAACACTCAAGTTTGCAACTGGAGGTTAGCAAAAAAAAGTTACACTGAGTATTGAGAGAAAGTGGCAGTAAATTCCCAAAGCCGGTACAGGCGGGTAATCATTTAATTAGGTGGCACCCGGAGTTAAGGAATTGTAGGGATCAGACGAGCTTACAGTTTGTCGTGGTATCAGCCAACTTTATTTATTAGGCTAGAATTCCCCCTTGATTTCGGGTTGAGAAAATACTACAGGAAAATTTTTTTTCCTTGTTTTCGAATAGAATAGAAAGTTTGTTAGGAAAATTGTGTTGTGTTTGTAACGTAGGTGTATGAGAGTCAATATTGTTTTTTTTTACTTTCCATTGTCTATAAAAATGGCATCGTTCTATAGCCTGACGGATTGTTTATTTAAACTAGAGTGAACTTAGCTTCATTTGTTTCTTCAGAATATATGTAGCACTCCTGAAAATAGTAAATTAGAACATGTTTTGAGTAACTCAAATAAGAAATATTTCTTTTACTTATGCCCATTTTAATAACTATGTTTTATGAAAGCAAATAATATTTTCGATGAAATCTGGATCCCAACGTCAAAATTAACTTATTTTTAGGATTTAATCACAACCAGTACCTTATGACAACGACATATACAAATGACAAAAGTATCCTAAAATAATTCTTTAAAAACCAGGGAAACCGCTGATGACTTCTTCTCTGGGTGGAATAAGAAGAGGTATCAAACTCTGACTCTTACTGACTAAAAACCACCAAAAGCCAAAAATAATATTGCCATTAAAAAAAGATGATAGCAAATTTCTAAAAAATTCATATACAAAAAAACATTTAAGTAGTGAAATGAAAAAAAATAAAAAAAATAATTCATATTTTATATAAGTCACGTGGACTTAATAAAACTAGAACAGGTGTTTTTTTCACTCACTTGCTAACTTCTCTTCATATTGTATGTTATTGAATTTCTTTGTTGGTTCCATTGAGAAACTAGCTCTTCATTTGTTTCTTTATGCCAAATCATTTTGCTATTTTCAATATGGTCGTAAAATGTCCTGGAAACCGTATGGATGGCAGAGGAGAACTCTTTTATGACCATCCCTATATATTCTTCTAACTAATATTATGTCTTCGACTGGTCAATTTGACCGATAGGAATCAGCAATGCACTCTGATAAAGCCTAAACATTTTTGTATACACACTTTCCTGAGACGTTCTATTGGAAAACGACTTACTTACAATAAAATTGTTCACTGACAAAAGCTGTACTAGTTTCAAGCCACACGAGAATCTTATTCATGAAAAGATGGCTTGCGGCGACGTTGCATCACCAAATTGAAAAAAGTTTTGAGACACTTATCAGGCATGGTTACCATCAGGTGGGATCGCAGTCAAGCACTAGTTTATTGCAAGTAAAAAAAAAATGGTGGTCGTACCAAACCAACCTGTGGAAAATTAGAATTTAGCAGTAAACTGTCGTTCAAAAAACAAATCGGGCCGTATAAATCAAATTTCAACTTTATTGTTATGGTAAAATCCTATAAATTTTCTAAACTACGAAAATTTATAATATTGGATGGTTTTTTGTTACTTTTCAACGTTAAAAGTTACACTATGGATTTTGATGAAAATTGGCATAGAGATAGATTATAGTCTGGAATTACGCGTAAGCTATTTCTCATTTAGGTAATACACGTGAACAGCCAGAAGCTACACAGCTATGAATAATTTTATTGCATTAATTATGATTGCTACAAAATTAATTGCTGTTGAAACAAATGTTACCGATGAAGAGCATGATACCAAAAAAATAAATGATGATACAACAAAATAAACCACTTTATACTAGTATAGTGAAATTTGTGTTCCAAATTTTAGGGGCCTGTGCGTTATTTTTTTCGACACATTCAAAATGTTATTCTTTTTGATATAACACACAACTAAGCGACAATTGCGTCTTTGGCCTGGTCAAAAATAAATTATTTTGATTTATGAATACTGAATAAACAATTATAAAGATATCACAGTTTCAGAGTTTTATTCGTGATTTATTAATATATTAACCTTATATTTGTTTCTTTTCCTAGCTAAATTTCGAGAAATAGTATGTCATTTGGCGTATGAGACACGATACTGTAACACGAAATCCATACTTATGCTATAAACAGGAAAAAAATGATTGTTTGAATCAAATAGACCCCGAAAAGCTACTCGTCCGAATTGAAAAATTCTTAAAAAAAAAGTAAACTAAACTATATTCACGGTTAACATAACCTAAAAATACACGGGTGAAATCGTAGGGTACAGCTAGTTCTGTTATACAATTATCAAACAAAATATTTTGATAATAAATTTGATAAATTTTCAACTGCTTAATTCAGAGGTTTCTGTATGAAGGACAGTGTTGTGTTATAAAACAGACCGACCTGATATATTCTTAGACAAACATGGTGGCGTACTACATAGATGAGAAGAAAGTGATATAAAGGAAAATAATGAGAGTATTTAAACGGGTGACGTGTAAGAAAGAATGGAATTAAAAAAATACATATTGTACTTTGTATGAGAGTAGAAGAAGCCAATCAATTTATTATGACGTCACGTTGAGTTGTTTGGTAAAAAAAGTGACATCGCTAGAAACTTGAACATATAATCTCTTATATCTGGTACTCAAATAGAAAAGGAATTCTTTAGGAGCCATTAAAGCAGATTAAATGAGAAGAAAAAGCGGATCCATAACCGTAAGCATCCTAGATAGTGGAGAATACATAAAGACCTGTGTCCTTGGTAGAGATTAATAAACTAAATAAAATAAAGAATTTAAGACAAACATCAAAGTCAAAAATAAAGACATGGTCGTTGCTGGAGCTCTATCGGGCATGAAAGTTTCCTTCAAAACAAAACAATAAAGAATATTAGTATAAACTGTCAATGATGCTGCTAATTCCATATAATGGAAATTGCAAGAAAAACATAATGAGCCTACTGAAAGGTATAAATGTAAAGTAATAAATTTATATTAATAACGATGAATAATAAAATAGTACTTATAAGCAATACTAGAATCGACTATTTGTCTTGTAGGCTGAAAGGTCACGCACCCTTAAATATTCTTCAGCCGTACGCTTGTTTCGTTTCCAGCAAAAATATTGTTGATGCTTCAGTAAGTGGTGTTTTTGAAGGTAGATGTATAGACTTATGATCATCTGAAGTCGTCCAATAATGTCTTTCTTGCATACAAGCTAAAGAAGTACGTAAAGAAGTAGGAATATACCTACCTAATGATTTTTTTGTGAGGTGAAAATCATCAAACGAATTCTCTCGCAAAGTTTGAGGCTAGAACGAGTGTCTGACTAAAAACTCCCGTTACTTCTCCTTCTTTAGGCCGAGGCCGCGGTGTCTTAATGCGCTTTCCCTGCAACCCTGGCTACCTGGTGAATTAATTTGATGGACACTAAACTACCATTATATACATTCATGTGGTTTGTTATACGTATTCACATCTGGCCCTTTCTACAATCTTTCCAGGATAGGAATAGTTCTTCTGTGGCGGCACTAGAAGTACACTTTGTCCTTTCATAACCTATATGACTTGTTAAAATATTATTGGTTTGTTTACGTAACTATGTAGGTATGTAGTAATAATAAAATGCTAAGTTAAGTCGAAATAAAAAATGATTGTATGACAAGGGCACGGATCCGACTCTGTGGAGCTGTAACATTATCAAACAAAAGGTTCGAACATTAAAGCATTGGTAAATAAAAATTTTGCATCTGTGAAAATATTTATTAGCATAATTTGAAAGTTAAATTTCCTCAATTTCATTTATTTGTATTGTCAATAAATGATAACTATAAATGCTTTTGTAATTCAAGTGGTACTCTGTCCTGCGATTTTTGTCAAAGATGTCGTTTCTTAGTTTAATTTTAGTTTCTTTGTGTTTAGGCGTTACTTATGGAGTCGTCTATGATTACTATACGGCTGAACCCGTTTCCACGACTCAATTGAGGTTCTATGAAACAGAAGGCGTTACTGAGTAAGTGGATTTTTATTGTAAACCTGATTTTTGCTAGTAAAATTATAGGGTTAGGAGATTGTAACCTGAATTAAGATAATTCATTAAACGCAATAACAACATTTAATAAGACAAGAGAAAGTTTTGCATTTATACTTTTGATCCGATGTTTGACATATCGATTTAATATTGGGTTTGGATCTGGAGGAGTAATAAGTTGGTTTTTAGTGTGGACAAGTGATACTTCTTCTAGCCCCATCCAGGGATAGATAGGTTATTAGATAAACGTACTATGTTATACTGCTTTTTTGATCGTCATTTTTTTATTTAAACTGTATAATTATGTGTGCGTGTATTCTTTATCTGAAACAAAACAATAGTTTTTCATCTAACAGATTCGACCTTAGAATACATTTCAATGCTATTATTACAGTACCTGTACCATTGACATCGAACCTTGCTCTGAAAATGAACCTAGAAGAGTTGATGGATCATGCGTCAGTTTGAAAAAACCTGGAAAGGGAACCTACTTTACACCCATGAAGAGAATCTTGCCTGCCCACTTCCACAATGGTGAGTATTCTATTACATTTACATTATCATTAACATTTATTTGTATTGTTTCCAGGATATGAAAATTCATTTTTCCATTTATTTATTTTTTACTGCATACAACGTTATCAAACCGTGTACTATAAATGTGAAATTTGTAAAAATGTATAAAATCTTGTTTATTATTTATTTCATTAAAAGTAAACAAACGAGCGGCCTATATTACCAAGCAGCCTATATTCCGTTGCAAAACGGAATAAAAGAACAAGTAGATAAATGAAATGTCTGAAATGTATACTTATAAAACTGAACATAATTGTATTTGTGCCTCGTGCTACGGCTTCCCAGTTTCTCTCGCTCCGCAACATAGTCTCGACTAAGGCCGGACGCGAGCGGTCACCGCCACCGATCACTTCTCTGAGGACACGGCGATGCTCAGCCGAAGCAGGCACACCGCCAACGTGCTTCTGAGTGGTCTTCACAATGACAATACGTCCCTCAACCCACTCTTCAAAGAGGGGTCTTGCCCTGCTTTAACAACATATCCAATATGTGCCACTGCTACCAAACCGTTTAAGTATTGCATATTTTCAGGATACTTCCCAAGACTAGCACAATCTGGTGATGAACTGCCTCTGGCAAGAACTGTCCGTCTCCAACTGGTTCACGAAGGAAAATCGATTAATCTGAATTTCAATCATCATTTGACTGGCTTTGCTACATTTTTATTCAGCGATATTGGATCCGTTCACGATGCTGGTAAGCAGAGATATAGATATTTATATTTTTCAGTTTTTTATTGAAATCACAAATTAATAAAGAACTTTAGCAATCATACAGTAACATTTGACATGAAACCTTTTAAACAAATACACATAATTTTATCAATAATTAAAATGTATTTCGTCAAAAATCTAAATTATTTGAAAAAAAGAATGCGAAAATGTTTTAAAAAAGAACTACATAATACTCAGAGCAGACCTATAAATAAGTTCAATATTTTCAGAAAACATGCTGCTTGAGACCACATACTGTTGTGAAGAGGAGCACTGGAATGACTACGAATGTACGCCCAACCTTTTGACTGCTGATGACCCTGTGCACAGGTTCACAGGCATCAAGTGCATGAACAGCACCAGACCTCTCACTTACCAGGACTACAAGTGCACTAAAGATGAAATACATTCTCCTGTAAGTACATAAATTCTTTAAAAGTAAATAATATATAACTTTGGACTCGTTCGGACTTGACCTACCCAAAGGTGTTCACGGATACATAAAATTCAGGAGTATCGCATGTTTGCTACACAGCACACACGCACAACTATAGGAATGGTGCATCTTAGAGCATCCTAGCGAAATCGAATAAGGTTAATGGGTTGCCTACGATTATTATAATACTAATATATTATTTTCACAACCCACATAAGAAAAACACTTTAGTTTCGTGAAGAACGGATTAAAGATTTTTAAGTTTTATAACTTGTAAGAGGTGAACGTAAAAATTTCTTGCCTTGTAACATTGAAAAATAATATTTGTTAACAGCTGAAAAAAGCCACTACAGCCTTCGACATGTCCCAAATTTATAATGCAAACAACAAAGGAGATAAAGCAGTTAGATCTTTCGTTAACGGACAATTGGCAGTAGAAGAAGAAGATGGCCATATTTACCCACCAAGCAGCCCAGACGCAGTTTGCCCCAACAACTCAGGCAACGAAACCAGATGCTTTGCCAATTGTAAGTTAATTTCAACTGGTTAAGGTCACGATAGTCGTATAGTCTCATAGGCATATAGCTAGCTATATGAGTTTCTGTTTCATTTAAAAATTTAGAAGAACAAATTGGTTTAGCCAGGGCTGCGGGTGTAAGCCCATTGCGTGTACCGCGGCCCTGGTCTCGAACGGATGTTTTTTGTCAGTAAGAGTCAGATATCCTTTGTTTGTTCCCAGGGCAACAAAAATAATTTGTCGTTTTTCTTCCACAAATAAGAACGAGCAAATTGGTTAAACATTCAGCATATGCATTATATTGCTTTTAATGTTTGTTTCTTTAGTGCCTCAATTAATAATCTCATTCAAAGATGATGACGACGGTCGTGTGATAAACAAAATTGATATCATTTGACTTTTTGCAGACTTCAACAACTTATTGCCAAATACACTATACGTGATCTGGTTTGTACGTCACCACAACTACTTAGCCAGCAAGTTAGCTGAAATCAACCCATGCTGGACTGATGACCAATTATTCTATGCTGCTAGAGACATGAACATTGCCTATTACCAGCAAATCTTCTTGTACGAATGGCTTCCAGCCCTCGAAGGTAATTCAAAAATATGATATTTATATAAAAGCGTTTATCGGACATGAAATGAATACTAATATTAAATGTGTTGATCAATCAGGTCGTGACAATGTCATTAAAGCTGGTATTATAAACAAAAGAGACGGATTCAGAGACTTGTACAATGAAGATGAGGTTCCTGAAGTAACATTGGAATTCACTTACACCATGCGTTGGTTCCATTTGATGCAGCCCACTAATGCTAAGTAAGCGAAATTTCTATTCTAATATTCACATTTGCCTTAAAATATATCAAAGAACCAAATCGTCAGACTTGATATACGGTGATTGGTGATTTGTGATAGCATATTAACCAAAATCTTCTTGCACTCTAGGTTGTACGACAGACATGGTAAATTTGTCAAGAATTACCCTGTATTGAATGCTACCTTCCACACTGGACTTGTAACACTTGGTGATAATGTAGAGTACTTTACCCAGAGTATGATCAGAGCTGGATGCCGTGCTTTTGACAGCAGCGTTGCTTTTGATGTAAGTTTCTCTTTTTTCTTATTTCTATTTGTAACCGTCCAATGTCCTTTTTGGAAAACTTTTCTAAATAATAAACATTAAAAAGTCTCTAAATAAATATCGATCAAGAAATAATTAATTTCAGGGCTATTTTTGAAGCCTTTCTTAATTGAAACGACAAACATAAAAAGGACCTAAATATTTTAATACTTGTATGTTGTCTTGATAACTTGTAATTTTCTGTTTGTAGCTTGCCAATCACGGTTTCCCTGGTGTGCAACTGAGTATCGATGCTCCAGCTGGAGATTTGAACAAAGGCCGTAACTTTGGAGTAGCTCCATACATTGACTATTTGAAACACTTCAACGGCGTCGATATCAAAACCTTCGACGATTTGGCTCAATTCATTCCAGCAGGCGTGAGTATTTTAAATGTTCATTTAGCTAATTTTATTGTTTGTTGCGACTTTTTACAATTATGTAAAAAGTATAATGAAATCTGACATCTGCATTGTTGTTAAGAACAAAAACCTTGTGCTTTCCATAACATACGATATTTTCCATCAATCTTTAGAATTCTTATGTTACTATACTCGTAGAATGAATTACAATATTATCATTAATCTACTCTTACTTTTAGAAAATCCAATTGTTGAAAGAAACTTATGGAGATGTAAGAGATATAGACTTATTGGCTGGTCTTTGGATCGAGAAAACAATTGAAGGAGGCGAAATTCCTCTAATGTTCGCCAACATCATCAACGACAACATCATTAGGGCTCTAAAGAGTGACAGACATTGGTATGAAAGACCAAACAGACCTAATGCTTTCACTAGGGGTAAGTTAAGTTTTTTATAAATAATGTCATACTCATTTCAATCTGAAATATATTTTTATTGCTAACTGTTACAGTACTGGGTTGGTTGGTGATCTGTACACATAGGTTGAATCTATTACAGGCATCGGTTTTAGGGTTACAGTTCTTTTGTTTTCTTACGTAGGTATTTTTAATAATGATGACGAAGATATTTTCTGTATCTTTATAGCAATAATAATCATCTATTAATATCCAGTTGATAGTTTGAACAATTTAAAACTCATTTCGTCTTTTTGACTTGTAATGAAGATAGTTTCAGTATTAGGAATGCCAGATTTATAAGTATGTATATAATAATATGGCATGAGCTGAAAGTAATAGAAAGTCAAGGTCAAGCGAAGTTTTTCAAAATTAACTTTGCAGTCAAAAAAGCGAGAAAGTATAAGTGAAACTGACTTTAATTTTGTTTTCTTTGTTACAGCTCAACTTAAGGAGGTTAGGAAGGCCTCCATAGCCAGGTTACTCTGTGATGTCGGTGATGGCGTCTATGAAGTACCTAAAAATGCCATCTACAATATTTCACCTAAGTAAGATTTTTTTTTATTTTGTACATCTTAAGCCATATTCTGCACCAATGGGCTGGCTCGACCAGTATTACCATTGACTCACAGAAAACCGGCGTCAAGCAACGCTTATATTATGCTTCGCTGTGTGAGTGAGGTTACCGGAAGCTCAAACCTTGCCACCCATCCTCAATCCTTAGAAATAAACTTGGGAACCCTAATGATTTAGTCAGCAGCGCACTTGTAGTAACTCCTTTGCTACGGACCTTGTGGATTGTAGAGCAAATTTCCGTGCGTTTAAACTTTTTTGCCATACCTATTGCTGGAAACAACAATACACAGGTCACCCATAGGTCCCATTACAATAACAATTGTATTGTTAATTTTCCCTGGTGTTTGGTGACTGGGCTTCTCCCAGTTGTACAGTCTCTTCTGTGCCTTTAAGGCCTATGTCATTCTGTCTCCTGCATTAAATTTACCATGGGAAGTGTTTTTTTCTCCTCCTCAAATAATATCTTCTGATTTATTTCGTTGCGGGATCCAAGACAGTCATTCATGTCCCAGAGAAGCGCCGGCCTTCAGTGTTCCGGTGTTTTTATGGTTGTATCTACTGTAGATCCTGGCTTACAGGAGTTGCAGCGAGTTCGGAAGGGTGCGGCGGGCTTGTCTTATTTAAAAAAAAACTTCTTTAGTATTACTAGTGTCCATGGATGGCGCTGATTGCTTGCCATCAGGTAATCTGCACGTTTGTCAACTTCTGACATTAAAAATACCTCGTTTGTTCCAGGAACCCGTTGGTCAGTTGCGACAAAATCCAGGGCATGGACTTCAATGCTTGGGCCGACAACACATGCCAAAGCAGTTAAACGAAAATATAAAATTACTTCTTTACTACTATGGTCAGATAAATGAAAATAACTTTTGATTTTGCTTAATTTGACTTCGCAGTTACACAGTTCCTAATTGTTTTTACCAATTACCAATAAAGAGTTGATCGTGATACTTTCTTTTTTTGTTTTATTTAACCTAAAATTAACGTGCCGAAAATAAATGTAAAATATTTTTTGACAGTATTTTTTATATAGTTAAAGTCAAAAGAGCCATATTTATACTTTTTACCACTAAATAAATTATTATGTAGGTACTTTTTGTATTTAAAAATAGATGGCGTTACTGGTGTTAGTATCGTTGTGTTTTAAAAATATGTACCTACGTCACTCATGGTCACTCGTAGTTTAACAACTAAAGGAAATACATATTATTTTTGTGATGGTATACGTTCAGCAATAATTCTACACTAATGTTAACAATTGTATAATGTAATATGTTTTCCGTAAAACCAGTTTCTACAGTTTTACTAATAACAATAATTTTTTGTTGTTTTTTTTTTTTTGAAGAATTAAAATAATATTTTATGTAGTAGTACAATTGAATTTTAGCATTTTAACAAAATTCAAAAGCAACATGTTCTTACAAATCGACATCTTAACAATTGGCAATTTTTTAAATTTTTTACAAGAGATTTTCCCAAGAACCTTGTTATATCCGGAGCAAAAACTTCCCCAGTATAGGAATATCCGGGTCAATTGCTCCGGGCACTGTGAGTAAATAAATTAACTGCTATCGGATATCCGTACTCTTGCCCCAATCTCGAGAATCGATGGCGTATGGCAAAGGATTTTGAAAGAAGGTTTTCGTGGCATATACAACATAATATCCAATATTTGTTGAGTCACTGCAACTTTTGCTTATCTCGCCAGATTAAAAAAAGAAAAACACGTGTATTGCAATTCCACAAATTAATGTGTTTGACAATATTCTGAATAAAAAAGTTTCTGTTAAGAAGGTTAATTATATACCTAAATTTATAATTGATAGAGAGACAGTCGACGCTGAAAAGTAATACAAAAAAGAAACAAAAAAAATCTATATACTATAGATTTTTTTGTTTGATAGATAGATAGCGGAAGATTTGTTTTTTGTTTCTGGACTTTCGCTAGAAACTTACAAAGGTAAAGTTAACTTTGGCAAGGGTTTGATTGTGTTACTATTGTCCTTACTTTCACCATTATCATTAGCAAGGGATAAGTCCACTACTGAACAAAGGTCTACCGATGTGGAGACATTAGATCTCCACGACAAGTCACCACTTGCATCCATCGGCGAGGTCGTCGGTCCAACAAGCAGGAAGTCAGCCCACTCTATGTATGTCTCATAGTCCGTAGTCGCCACACGAGCACTTTTTTGACCCACTGGCCGTATGTCCTTTAACCTTTTAATGTAATTCATCACACATAGGTGCGCGCTTTCGCTTGAGTTTGATGAAATATTAGTATTTTAATACGAATCGTTTTAATGTATAATGTACAGAATCAGGTTCGAAATTTGAAATGGTATTTACTACTACAACTGTCTCTTGTCCAATCAAAATGTCTATCAGTATTTCGTTCCTGGTACACATATCCAACCCATTTTACGAGAAATAAGAATGATTCCAATTAACGTTTCTCCATGTTTCTTTGTTCCCCTGCACAGATAGGGTAAAACTATTTCCCTTGGGCTCGAATTGTGGGAAATTCTATTGGATGTATTCAATTACTTATGTGATTGACGGCAGGAAGAACGGGGCTTATTAGTAAGAAAATAACAAAGTAGATTTTATGTGTTTTTCTTGTGTTTAGCTATGTCTGAGTAATTCGTAAAATTTGGGCCAAGAAATTTGCCAAGAATAGGCACATTATTAGCAGTTATAATTATTAATTTAGCTCTTTTACCTAACCACATGTTGTGTATACACTAGACAATTCTAGACTTAAAGCTATTTTAGAAATATCTGAAGTTCGAGACCAAGCTGCACTGGAGCAAGACAAGGAACGGGGTGGCTTTTAGTCAGTAAGACCTCCCTGTCGTCTCAACAAGTTTGGGAAAATTCATTAAGAGATAATGTGTCAAAATACATAAATACATAGGTGTATGTATTTCGTATAAATATGTAATAAAACAACTAATTAACAAATAAGCAAACAATTTGTATCAATTGTATATATACTAAGAAAGTTCCTATAAAGGTATAAAGCGGCTTACAAAGTTCTCATCCTTAGGGAGGTCTCGCACTAGCATGATTGAATTAGTTCAAACAACTTCCGATAGCGTTTACAACCCACAAACTTGTTTTTACTACGAACTCTTATTACATTGTTTTTTCTACTATTTCTGGAATCAATTCCCACGAGGTATTTGTGACGAAAAATAAACCATATTTTTTCCTAAGGTCTTTTTTTCTATATATATTGACGTACTTACTTTTTTTCTTTATGAAAACGGGTTTATAAAGTTTTTTTGGTGTTCTGTTGCAAAAGAGTCATCTGGGAATGAAAAAAATTGTGTTATTGTTCCATTATGTATTACTGTATTTTAGGACAGACTATGCCTAGGTTGAAATTAGCTTTTAAACTAGATGTAGGACTGGGCATAAAATGGGCCGCCAAACAAAGAACTTCATGGCGTCGCATCGCAAGAGAGGCAGTGGCGCAAGACTCGACCGACCACCATGACCATGACCACGACCACAAAGAAGAAGTAGAGTGTCTTTGTAATTTCGGTAAAAAGAGATTTATTATTCAGTAAGAAACAAGTTTTTTATTACTGTCGATTTATTCAAAGCAGAATTACAAAAACAAAAGAGTAACACGTTTATTTTGCAAGCTAAAATCTTCCAGAAAATATATTCAACGAAAAGATGCGGATAAGAAAGATTAATTCACAGCAAATCAACGTTAACAACAATTTGGTACTAAAACTTCCAGTCAATTTTATAGTTTCATTCAAAAAGAGAATACGCAAGCCAAACAAAGAGGTTTGATCTACTTTAAAAGACTTCTAAACTGGGTTCGACGAAAATTTGTAGGTATTTGTTCCTCACTGTATTCGTGACCTGAATCAAGTGACAGCTCCATTTGATTTTCAGCCGCCATCTTGTTTTTCCTACGAGAACGGTGAGAAAATTTGTTTTTAAATCTGTATTGAGAACTTTGTCCTGTTTTTTTTTTTGTTTACAGCTTCTATTCATTAGATCGTGGTATGGTGTTGCCTACAAATTTTTGAATAAAATTTGGTTTTAAATCCATGTTTATGAAAAACTTTTAGGGTTGTTTATCACAAAAGTAGTGCAATAAAATGAATTATGTTGTCAAAAAACCGTTCTACTTCTATTGACCTCAAACTATAAAAAAAACTTCAATGAAAATAGATTATCTATAACAGCTAAACTTAAACCAATAATAACACAATAAATACTCCAACCCCATCAATTCCCTATAAATAAACAAATGAATAAATGATATGTGAATCCAATAAATTGCATACATCTGCCATACAGTATTCAACCACGCCTTTTCAAATAACAGTGGTATATCATGTTATTGTGACGTCACATCAGTTGTGTTATTTGGTCGACGTTGGTGTCTTCCTGTTATAACGGCTTCTAGGAACCGACCCTCATAATAAAGCCACCTTATTACCGTAATTACTACTTGGAACCTGCTACTGTTGTTTCAGTACTGAAAGGATTACTGTGACATCATGCATGTTATTAATGGCTTGGTTTATGTGAACTGTTGTTTATTTAATTGTTAATAATTGTTAACGTTTGTAAGATGGTGGTTGGGGCAATTTTTGGAGGTTAGCCGGCTTGGCTATACTTCAGTAGAGGCATGTTTAGATGGCAGTGAAAATGGGGGGCTAGCGCAATTAGGTACCACAGCCTCGAAGCAAGAGAAGGAGCAAAGTGTTTTTTATAATCAGTAAGAGTCTGAAAGGCTCTCTCGACCCTGGGTGAGAGAAATCATTTGATGTTCAGTATTATAATTTTAACCTTGATATGTAATTACAAATCTGGGTGCGAAATAACTGATATTTTTTTAAGTAATTAGTGGTCCGTTCGGATTTCAACACCAACGCGCCTGTTGCGGGGTAAGCGCAATGAGGCACCGCGACCTCGGCCCTGAGCAGGAGAAGGAACAGGGGTTTTTTAGTAAGTTAGAGTCTGACACTCCCTGGTCACGATTGGTCATTTGATGATTTTCCCCTCACAAAAAAAAAAACGCGCCGCCTGCTGTAAAAAGCGCCTAAAATTTAGTCACAATAAACTGTTGAAACTCGCTATCTTCATTCCTTGAGGTCCAGTACTTATGACCGTTCCGACACACTTATTCATTTAAGATAAGACTACATTATTTAGGATAATATGGCCGGCTACACACTCGTAACTCTTCGCGAAACACGTTGCATAGCAGCCAATCGTCCAGCCACAGCCGCATCCATGCAGTCAATTCAAATGCGACCTCCACTACAGTCAACATTTTTACGTAAAAATATATGTACATGGTGATTTGTTTAAATCAATCACATTGCCAACCTGTATACAAAAAAAGCCTTGTTACACTTAACAGATTTTTCATGTAAATTCAGAGGTCAGTCAGGCGTGACCCATATAAGCCCCTAAGGGTACAAGCAGGAAGGGTGACACCAAATGCATATTTGATGATCCCATAAGCTGACAGGGTGTCGTTAAGCTACGGGGACTAAGATAAGCATGGTGTTAGTTGTATGGACCCCGATATATTAGTAAACTTTGTTTATACTATATCGGAGATAGTCATAAGACTATGGGATCCATTCGTTTCGGATTTGATGGTTTCTGTTTTAGCCCAAAGGGTTTGAATGAAACTGCAACATTTTGATTAAAACTTAATAGCTATTATTTAGTTTTCATCAAAATGTTGCAGTTTCATTTGGTCTAGTAATGCGTCTTATTGTAAACAATTTTCATATTCATATACCTTTTTTCAGAAATCATCAAAAGACTAACACAGGATAAGGCGCGAGGGAGTGTCCGACTCTTACTGACTAAAAACTATTTCTTCACCTGCTCCAGGCCGAGGCTGCGACACCTTTTTGCTCTTCACCAGCAGCACCGGCTGGTTTTCTACCTGTCTCTT